CTCCTCCTCCCAGGGCACCAGCGAAGTCCGATTCCGCAGAAACAGGACGACCTTCACCGCCGATCAGCTGGACGAACTCGAGAAGGAGTTTGAGAAGACGCATTACCCCGATCTGCCGACGAGGGAGCGACTGGCTGAGAAGACGTTGCTGTCGGAGGCGAGAGTCCAGGTGAGGGAAGGGAAGGAGGGAGGAAGGGAGGGAGGAAGGGAGGGAGGGAGGGAGGGAGAAACGTTTGCAGGTCGTTGGTGTATGGTTGGTGTGCGTGTAGGAACGTTTGTAGGTCGTTGGTGTATGGATTGTGTGTGTGTAGGAACGTTTAGATGTCGTTGTATTTTTTTTTTTGTGTGTGTGTGTGTTTGGGAACGTTTGCAGGTCTTTGGTGTATGTTTTGTGTGTGTGTAGGAACGTTTGGTGTTTTTTTTTTTGTGTAGGAGCGTTTGGAAGTCTTTGGTGTATATTTTTGAGTGTAGGAACGTTTAGAAGTCGTTGTATTTGTGTGTGTGTGTGTGTGTGTTTGGGAACGTTTACAGGTCTTTGGTGTATGTTTTGTGTGTGTGTAGGAACGTTTGGTGTTGTTTTTGTGTAGGAACGTTTGGAAGTCTTTGGTGTATATTTTTGAGTGTAGGAACGTTTTTTTTTTAAGTGAGAAGAGGATATGTGAGAATGTTCAAGATGAGTGTGTGAGAACGTTGATATTTTTTGTTTGTTTGTTTTTATTTATTTATATTTTTATTTATTTGAGAGAGGAAGCTTGGGAGAGGGATGGTGAGTGAGGGTTGTTTGTGAGAGGAGAAAGAGTGAGAACGTTTTGGAAGAAAGGAGGTAAGAGAAGGACGAATAAAAACGTTTTGGAAGAGATAACACGAGAAACTGATCCAGTACAATATAAAAAGATAATTTTAAACGTTTAAAGACAACGTTTTCAAGATAATACATGAGAAAAACTATCACTGGAACGTTTAAAGAGAATTATTGTTTGAGAGAACGTTCAAAGAAAATTATTATAAATTATAGATAGATAGATAAATAGATAAATAGAGAGTTATTATTCCTTATTATGATCTTGGTAATATTTTCATAATATTTTAACAAGTAATTCGGAACTTGGATCTAAAATTTAAATATGGTTTTAACAAGGTAGTTTACAAGTGAAGGACTGAATATATCAAAGAAGCTTACAATTGGTCACGTGATTTTGTATTTTGATAAATATAACAAGGTGTAATACAGGCTGGATGTCGTACAATTTTGATTATAATGAATAATGACAATAATAGTACGATTAATAATGATGATGATAATAACAACGATGATGATGATGATGAGGATGATAATAATAATAATAATAATAATAATAATAATAATAATAATAATAATAATAATAATAATGATAATGATAATAATAGTAATAATAATAATAACGATAATAATAATAGTAATAATAATAATAAAAATAATAATAATAATAATAATAATAATAATAATAATAATAATAGTAATAATAATAATGATAATAATAATGATCATAATAATAATGATAGTAATAGTAATAAGGATGATGATGATAATAATAATAATAATAATAATAATAATAATAATAATAATAATAATAATGATAATAATGATAATAATAATAATAATAATAATGATGATAATGATAATGATAATGATAAAGATAATAATAACAACAGTAATAATAATGATAGTATTAATGATTATAATACTAAGGATAAAAATAATGACAATAATAATAATAGTGATCATGATGATGATTATGATAATATTAGTAATGATAATGATAATAATAATAATAATAATAATAATAATCATAATAATAATAATAATAATCATAATAATAATAATAATAATGATAATGATAATAATAATAATAATGATAATAATAATAATAATGATAATAATAATAATAATAATAATAATAATAATCATAATAATAATAATAATAATGATAATGATAATAATAATAATAATGATAATAATAATAATAATGATAATAATAATAATAATAATAATAATAATAATAATAATAATAATAATGATAATAATAATAATGATAATGATAATAATGATAATAATAATGATAATAATAATAATAATGATCATAATAATGATAATTATGATGATCATATTGGTATGATAAGGTATAGTGAATGGGGATATGATGTGATTGATGATATAATGAATGGTGGTATGGTATAGTGAATAGTGATATGGTATAGCGAATGATATATAGTGAATGGTACGATATAGTGAATTTTGCTGACATAGTGAATGATCTGATATAGTGAATGATTATATGATAAAGTGGATGGTGATCTGATATAGTGAATGGTGATCTGATATAGTGAATAATTTTAAGATATAGTGAATAAGAATTTAATATAGTGAATGATTTGATATGAATGAGAAAAAAGAGGCAGTATTTATTATTTAAGTAAAATAATAACGTAAATCAGTTTCCAGTCTTATAATCTGATTTATGAGGCAATTAATTCATAAAAAAACCAGATAAATATTAGAAATAATTTTAAATATATCATACAATAACCTGGTGTAGTAGTCATGTAATTGAAGTCATTAATGCGTGAATATACCAGGTGTATACTAGGATATACTTTAGTCATTATTCTGAAAGGTTTGTAATTATGTGGAATATGTTTCATGTATCTTAGAGGAATTGGTTTATTCCAAATAGATCTAGATATATATTTATTTGTGAATAATTTTAGTGAGAAAGTAAAGAATATCAGTATATCACTAAAGGAAAAAAAATCCATTATTGACATAATGCCTAACTATATCTAAATATATGATAAATGTACATTAAAGAGTATATTAGCGAAAAAGTAAGTAGTTTAGGTGTAAGTTATTTTGTAGGTAGTCAAGTGAATGAGTAAGGTAGCAGGTAGGTAGTAAATAAGTAACTAGGTAGATAGACACGTAAGTAAGTAGATAAGTAAGTAGACAAGTAAGTTAATGCGTAAGTAGGTAGGTAGGCCGTAAGCAAGAGCCGGATCCCAGCGAGTAACGCCCGCCTGGTTTCTGACAGGTGTGGTTTTCCAACAGACGGGCCAAGTGGAGGCGCCACCAGCAGCTAAGCGTCCTCCGCCCCTACTCCTCCTCCGACGACCCTCTCCCCCACTCCCCGAGGACGACCTCGCCCTACTCCGAGGGCGCGTCGAGCCCCGACATGCGCCGCTCCCCGACCCCCCCGTCCCCCTGCCCCGCGTCAGCCCCCCTGGCGGCGCCCCCGTCGTCGTCCGGCAGCCGGCCGAGCCCCGCGGCCTGCGCCTCGCCCACCAGCCCCTCCAGCGCCTGCTCCACCACCACCACCTCGGCCCCGGCAGGCGCTTCCACCCCTGGCGGCCCGTCGGCGCTGGGGCGGCGCTCCCCGCGGCCGGCCTCGACCTCTCCACCTCCCCCCCCGCCGCTGGGGGCGCACCCTCGCCTGCTCTCACCCCTTCCCCAACCTCAGCCTTCACCCGCATCGACCGCCGCCCTCAATCTGTCCATGCCGCACCCGCTGCCCCACGCCCATCTGCGCCACAGCCCGCCCATCTCGACTTCAGCCCACCTCGGGCGCCTGAGCAGCCGCCCGCCGCCGCCGCCCTTGCTGCCCGCCAGCCTGCTCTCGCTGCCCCAGTACCCCGGCTTCTCACTCGGGCGTGACCTCACCCTCACGCCCATCAACCTCTCCAGCGCCCACGCCCGTGAGATCATGGCCGCCCAGGCTCGCTGCCTGCTCAAGTCGGCCGCCCACAGCGCCCACTACAAGGGCGTCGAGGAGGAGGACAGCGACATCGAGATCGACCTCGACGCGAAGGAGGACAGGGAGAAGGAGGAGGAGGAGGAGGAGGAGGTGGTCGAGGCGCAGGACCTGAGCGTCAAGAGGAAGAGGACGGAGAGCGAGGACAAGGAGGAGGCCAAAGCGGAGGAGAAGAGCGCCGAGCAGACGAAGGAGGAGGAGGAGGAGGAGGAGGAGGAAGCCAAGCAGGAGAAAATGGAAGATGCCTGAGCGCAGGTCGGGACTCGTGTGCGGATGAGTTCAATCTCTCGTTTAAGGTAATTTATTGATTAATTGATACCATCAACGAAGCTCATTGCTGACTATTTGACAAAGGAACACCCAGTGACTCGTTTATCGGTACCGACTACCGAACAAAGACGACAGTTGAAGCATTTTTTTAAAACTCTCGAAGCTTCGTGAAGCAAGAATCACTCATGGTTTCGAAGCCTCAGTCAACGCGTGTCCTTTTCTCTCACTCGTAAAAGAATGGAAACTTGGTAAAAAAATCAATATTACTCAGTACACTTTTATAAGGAGATTCAACGACATCAACGACTGTCACAAACCTAAGAAATACTTAATATAAAAAAAAAAAGATTAAACAAAAAACTCAACTTATGTAAATATAGGTTTAAGACTGATATAGTGCTGGTCGGGTTTTTTTTTTTACTATCAATTGTTAAAATCATGAAATCCATGACTAAAAGTGCACAAACAATTGAGCTTAAGTACTTATGAATGAACGATAGATGTAAAGTTATCATGCACAAGTTACTGATAATTATATGTATAAAATCGTTCTGTGTACAGTAGATATGGGTGCTTTTGACTCTCTTAGGAGCTGAAGGAAAAGATTCTCCTTTTTATTTCATTTCTGTGAATAACTAAACAACGAAAAAATAGTTTCATTATATATATTTGAAATACATACATATATATATGTATATATACTATATATACTATATATATGAATGTATAACTATATGTATATATGTATGTATATATTATATCATATATGTATATATATATATATATATATATATATATATATATATATATATATATATATATATATATATATATATATATATATATATAACCTTTCAGAAACTCATGTCCGTAGGCTAGACACACAGTAGTTGAATGCACCAAAGACGTATTTTGTATCCATCTTCTCTCTTTTTCTTTTCTCTC